CCGAGCCGGTTTTCCGTTTCACTGAAAATCGACAGCCGATGCTCCCGCTACAGGATGCTGGCCAGCAACGAACCTTCACGATCAAGTTCCGAAGTCTGCAATAGGCTCCTCCAGACACAAGCCGGGGAGCGCAGCGGTGTGTCTCCGCCCATTGCCGAGGCAATGTAGACGGAGGCCACATCCAGGCCTGGATCGTCACAGGCATCGCAGGAGTTTCCCAGGCGCATAACAGCAGAACTTCGGGCTCGGAGGTTTGCTTTACGCGCACTTCCGGGTTTACGTTTTGCGCGGCCTTCCTGGTGGACAGAGCAAGATCGTATTGCGAAGGTTGCTGGCTTTTCGAGCTGAACCTGCTCGAAGCAGGGGATTGGTGTTAGTAGAGTAGAATTGCAGCGAAAGGAACTCCGATACCGTGCGGGCCAGTCTGTGCCTTCGCCCAAGAAAAAGCATCAACTCATAGAAACTAGCGCAAACACAGCCATTGCAACGGAGCGAAAGTGGTCCCCAACACAGACTGCAGCTGCATCGGCGAACATGCTTGCACTCACAATGGCAAGGCATGGCTTGCCCAAGCTCCCGGCTGTGCTGCAGAGATGTTGCTGCTGCTCGCCAAGAGAGGTGGGCGACAATGAGACTTTCCTTAGAAGAAGCTCTCGAAGTGGGATGGGGCTCAGTGTTTTGGATTCATCAGATGCATGAACCGTCCGAGTCAAGCAAAACAGGCCGTTGATTCCGTTGCTTCAAGGAAGAAAGCTGAGGAGGTGGTTCAATATGTGAGGCCCTACCTCGCGCCCATCAATTGGCCAGCATTTTCAATGCTGCCCGACTAGATGTTTCAACGGCCAACCCTTCCGATGCAGTACAGGCGCACCGGGGGACAAAGAGCACTCCGGAGTTGCGACCTCCGAGCTGTCACACTCCTGGCGGCAAAGTTCCAACAAAAGGGGAAGGGCGCCAACACAACGACGAAATTGAGGCGCAAGTCGGCAGCGACCACATGTCATATCAAGTAATTGACAGTCCTCAACGCAGTAGTCGCAATCATGGAGTCAGGCGCAGTTGTCGAAAGTAAAGCAGGCATTCTTGTAGCAGCTCTACGAATGTGGTACGCTGTAACAATGAAACATCCTTCTCCACAACACACGGAAGCATAGATCAATCCACTGCAGGAGGGGCGTGGCCTGAGCCCCCAAAAAATGGCGCACATCTCTCCGTCCTCCGAAACCATGGGCACCTCCTCTTCTCGCACTTCTGCCGCGCGCTCCGATGGCGTCCACTCGGGGTCGGAGCCCTCCGCAGGAGCCGGCACGGCGGCAGCGCCTCGCTTCGCAGCTAGCACTGGGCCAGCGCAAGACACTATCTCTACGCTTCCAGCAGGCTGCCCGCAGAAGCTACGAGGAAAGTGTCGTGTGGTCTCTGTTGTTGGTGTTCGACTCGTTTGCACAACGATTCTCGATCTGATTGAGAATTACTGCAAGAGTATTGCAAGATTGCCTGGGTCCTTCTCGACATCGACGGCCACCTGCAAGGCAGAGCGTTGTCAGTCAGAATGTGACTGCTGAGCATAGTTTCAGTATCTACAGGCTGGTTGACAAGTCGACCTTTTGCGGATGACATCAACCCTTCACATGGACATTTCGGAGCCCTGACTGTCAATCAACCATCCTGCTTCAAGATGCCCACTCTCGTGCAATCATCGCAGCCTCAAGCGCCTTGAAACCTTGCGCAACCTACAGCAACCTCGACGAGAACTCTCTAACTCTTCGTACCTGCCGGGTTTTCTCTGGCGTCTCCGTCATAGTGGAGCACACGGGGGCGAACCTCTCCTGAGCATGGGCCCACCCCGAGTACTAAGCCAAACGTAACCCTATTGACGAGCAGAGCGTCTTTCGGAATCCTGTTACTCCCGTTTATGCAGAAACGTTGGTTAATCTGAAGAGCTTGCAATGCTTCGTGCCATGAAATGGGTCTCAGGCGAGATAGCCACTCAAAACCTAGAGGGCCTTTTTCCGAGTGGCCCCGAAGAATGCTGCGACACGGCCTTTCGCCGTCGAAGCGTTGGTGCCGAGGCCCAGCAGAAGGCCGCGGACCTGGAGCGGAAGCCGCTCGGGACAGTCGCAGTTGGTTGTTGCACTTAAACCACAGCTTCCACGCAAACACACAAAGATGCTCTATGTATGTACACATCATTACATGCAAAACAGATGCACGTTGCATTCATTCATTCGTTTGTTGCTTGGTTGGTTTGGTTGGTTTGTTTGGTTGGTTGGACGCATGTGGCCATCAATCTGTGCACACACATATAAGCATCTACAGTCCACGCACACACACAGAAAACAGAAGCCTTACACCCCGAAGCAATTGTGCTGTTGCAGCCGGAGCGACATCCAACCCAGTGGCTGACTCCCACAACTTCGTCTCGAAAAAACTCACTGCCAAAGCTTGTGCCGCATCCTGGGCTGGAGTGAATGACTGGCCACCCTCAAGCTTCGAAGGCCGAAGCCCTCAATGGATGGTCGGACCAGCGCGATATGGCAAGCTTTGCCCGGCTCGACCCCATTCAATTGCTGCACCCTCTTCCCCACGACTTGCACAGGCAAGCCATTTTGCTGACGGAACTGCTTCACTGCGGCCAAAGCTCCGGCTCACCGCCTGCAAGCAGCTCGTTTGCTACCGGCTTCACATGTCTGCCCTTTGAGGGAAGCACTGTGGGGCCTGCTGACGGCCGAGCCAACCCACAGGAATCCGCACGTCTTTGCCCTCGAAAAAAGAACGTTGCGCCCAAATTGTCACTGTGATGCATAGGAGCTGGGAGTTACTGGGATCTGTGGGTCTTGGGGGAATTCCCCGCCTGCACGAGTGCTGAGTGGTGAGTCTGCCAATGTCATAGCATCTCCGCAGCCCGGCTAGCTCTCGCTCGGCTGGAGTGAGCCCTAGGCCCTAGACTGACAAGGCTGAGCGGCGAAATGTTGGGTGGGGGTTGAGGGGCGATCGAGTTTGGGGAACATTACGTGGCATGGCTCATGTCTACCCATCCAATGAGCTCAAGCACCACAAAGTCTTTCCTGTCCCTGGATGTCCATTCATGATGCGTTGCCTCTGCTTGAGAGGACTGAAAATGGCAGCGAAGACACGCGTCAATCGCAGGCTGCCGCAATCTAATTCAACGGCGGGTGCCTGCAGTGTACTCCCTTTGATGGCATCTTGCGAGCTACAAAACCATAATATGGACACAGCCTGAAAGTGTAACCGAGAGAATGTCACTCGCACTTCGGAGAGTTGGCTAGCCGACTCAGTGCAGCAAGAGGGCCTGCCTGCTCCCACTGCCGACTCCACTCGCAGACAGAGAGTGCGGCATTGAAGCTGATCCTGAAGTTACACTCGCTGCCGCGAAACGACCGGGACGGAAAGCCTGCCCCGATCGCCAGCAGCAAAGAAAGAAACCGCGAGAGCAACATCATCAGCAAAGCCTCTCAGCCTCTCAGCTCCAAGTTCCGAAGACCCGAGGACCCCACACATCTGCAGCGTCGCCGGCGAGGAGAAACACTCGCAGGGCCTTCCGACCCACCCTTGCATAAGCCGGTGCCGTCAACATGCCGCGCAAACACACACAAACCCAGCGAGTCCCTTCAGAGTTAGATTGTCCAGTTCACGATTGAGGCTTTGGGCTCACTCATCCTGGATTGCTGTTGATGCTTTTATGAAGAATTCCCTAGACCTCAACGTCCGTAGACTGGCCTCCTCCCAGAAGAAGCGATTTTTGAGCAGCGTGATGCTCTGCGTTTGATCCTGGCGGCTCGTTGGAACTCAAGAACTGCGGTAGTCAACTGGACGCTGGAATGTGGAAGCATCAACACCGGCGTGACATGGTGTCTCCAGAAAGCTGCATCCTCCAGAGAGATGCAGCGGAGTGGAGTGATAGGGCGAGCTGCGGGAGTCCTTCGGCTTCATCTTTGGGGCAAGTGTGAGCAAGATCTCAACATCTTCCCGAGCCTGCAGCGACATGTCTAGCATGCTCATGTGCTGACCAGTTCTGGCCTCTGCGTCGCTTTTCACGGCGTGTGTGTTGTGGTGGCGTCTCGAATTCCCTCAAGTCGAGAACCAACACATTAGGTCGGACCCCATGATGCAACCTCAATCACAACGGCAACGTGCTGATTGTGGGTGCAGGGCAAGTCGGCTTAAGATCCTGTAGCCACAAGACCGAAAAAACCTGGGGGCCTGATGCCAGATTGAGCATACCAGTGTCGATTGAGCGAAGACCCATATTCACCGCATATAACCCACCAAACTAAGGCGCTGCGGCTGGTGCTAACATACTGCCGTCTTGAAAAATGTGTTGCGTGGTTGAACCCACTTGCCGAACACACAAAACAGAAATTCGGAGTTAACCCAAGATTCAGTTCACGCTCTTCTGTAGAGCGCAGGTGTACAGACTAAGACAGTCTGCGTTCATGCGGGGAACGAACGTCCAACAGCAGCAGTGTTCAGCTGGGCTTGCGGTGTCGACCATGGTCCCGGCCCCGGCCCCGGAGGTCCCGAAATCGGTAATTACATGCTCGACTTCTTCAAAGGCAGGTTGTCGCGCGCCCTTTTTTGTCTCCTCGGTCCGGCTTGCTGCGTAAAGAGGCGCACATCGATGGGAAAATGCCCCGATAAGGAGTCCAGGGCGGGGGCGCTCCACGCTGCGGACATCTGAGTTTGGTTTAGTTTGGAGAATGTAAGTCAATGAAACTGCCGGGGCTAAGGGTGCGATGGTCTTTCGGGGGGAGGATGCTCTGAGACTGCTGTGCTTCAGAGCCCGAGCCCTCTGTCAGAACTGCGAATCCTAGAAGCAAGGTCGCAACCTTGCTAAGTCGTTGTCGAAATCAGACTATGTGCTGCTGCAGCTCCCTGGCTGGGCCTCTGCCAGGGAGGTAAGGTGCTCAGGCTGCCACAAAGAAAGCAGATTGCTCTGAGCTTCAAGTCTCTGTCCGGCGGAACAGGAGCTCAGGCGAAGCTCACTTCTTGGCTTTCCGGTCGACCTTCAAGCGTCCTGTAGGCAGATTCGGAATCTCCCATTTCACGATCGGTTTGCCATGGGCCTACAGCACTCAATTCGCAACACTTACTTGCACGACATCCCCCGACATCCTTGTCCAAGTTACTGTAAGACCCCGAAAAGCTGACAAATGAAGTCTTGCAGGTTCGGCCCGGAGACTTGTTGATCATGTGGCGAAAAACCTCACTGGACGCCTACTACCTCGAATTCATGCGGGTGGGGCACGATGTAGCAACTTTCTGCTCTTAGGCACGTGATCTTTCGTCGCAGTACCTGTATATAGCCCGAAGGAATGCCTGCTTCTGAATGAACCAGATCGAGATCGAACGAGGCGAACGAACATGTCATCACCAAATGTTGGAGCTTTATAACATGCGCTGCTGCCGAAGCCATTTCCTGAACCGCAATCATATGTGTCCAAAACCATACAAGCGTCGTCCAGCCGTGAAAACTATAACTATAGCAAGAATGGCACTGCCTTCATCGACGGTCCAAATCTCGTCGCACACCTGCGCAACCCCAACGCCCAAAGCTCCATTCGGCGGCCTAGTCACCATGAAGATATATGCAAGAGGAGTGCTGAACCAGGCTGCACGGCAAACCACATCAGAAATACTCTCGGCCTCTTCAACGAATTTCTCGCTGTGCGAAACAGCGGCGCAACCTGGGTTCGGCATTCAGGTAGGTTTGCTCGTGGTACCCGCAATTGTCCTAACTCCATGCCCAGCACCTCCGCGAAAGGTTCGGATCGCGCGCTTCAGCAGCTCGACCGTCTCCGTATCTGCAGCATCGCACAAGCGCGGGGCGGACCAGAGTCGACAAGCACAGTTCTGCGTGTAACCGAATACTCTCTGCATGGAAACACCGAGCTGTAGGTATGTAAATCTTGCAGGTTTTGGTAAGCAAGCGGGAGGTAGGTAGTAGGTAGGGAGGGCAGGGAGGCGGGCAGGCGGGTGTAGGCATGTAGTATGGCTGCGGAGGTAGGTAGCCGGTATGCTTATAAGCGTCATTCGCTAGCTGCACAGACGTCTCAGCATCCACTACTAGCAGTACATCGATCGGCTAGCCCGAGCACCGATTGCTGTGAAGCCACATAGCCACATGGACACATCGCAACTCTGGATGAACTGCTTTTTCGTGCCTTCAGGCATTCCCAAACTTCCGACCCCCCAGCAAGCCCTTGCAGCAAGAACGGCTACGAGGATGCTGGTCATGCCGATGGCGAGAAGACTGATGTTGACGCTTGCATCCATGCCCGATTCAGATGTGGTCGCGCTTGTTGCCCGAGGGCTTTGTTACAAGTAGTGACTGTTACTGCCGAGAGTAAAGCGTGATCAAATCTTGCTCTAGTTTCAGATGAAGGTTGATGGTTGGCTGTGACTCCACCAGTTTCACGGCCACTAGAATTTCGACCGTGCTCGGGAAAACCCTCCTCAGACTGCTCCTCCACCTGATTGTCGTCCTGGTGACGATCATAATGACAACTGTGAAATCATCATCGGAAGCATCGGCATCATCACCACACCCGGTGTCATGGCCGTTGCTACAAACATAGTCTTGTCATCATCCAGACCATCATGCAGCAGCAGGCAGCAGCAGCCGCGTCGCCACGGCCACTCCGGAGAAACACAGCCCGGCGTGCCCCCCCCCCCCCCCACCGCCCGCCCCGTGGCGCGCGCCTAGGTAATTCGTCGGCTCGTCGAGGCACACGACGTGGGGCCTCGCGCGAAGTCTCGAAGTCTCGAGTCTCTCTCAGAAGGCTCAGCGGTCTCAGAAGTTTCAAGGCTCAAGGCTCTTAAGTCTTAAGGCTCGGTGCTAGAGTTTTCAACTTCCAATTCGACTGGCGATGCGCCCTGGCTCGGAGGCTTCGCCAGGCCGCCCAGGGTTTGTGGGTTGGAGGTTACAGGCCTTATTTTTCTTATCTTGGGGAGTTCTTCAGCAAGAACCCTGTGCGGGCAATTCCTGCTGCAAGATGCGTCTACGCCTGGCGCTACAAACCATGTAAACAAACTCTTACCCGCTGCTGAACGCGAACAAAGGGTGCGCAAGCAAACGGAGGTGCACGCCGCGCTGAAGGGGATGGGACACGAAGAATTACTCAGACGACGAAACACCGCCTTTCAGCTACGAGAAACCTGAAAAGTTCTCTCAGAAACAAAGCAAATTTGCATTTCCCCCGAAAGACTCGGAGCTCTCGGCTAGGGCGGCTAAGGCCGCTGGCCTGGTCCAGAAGGCGGCGCCAAGCGCGAGCTTGCACTTCTGTCCAGAGGAGAGCATGGAGATCTTGCGACTGCAGACCACGTCCTCGCAACAAGTCTAAGTGCCGGCTTCGAAAGCCCTCTGGCAGGAAACTTCAGGATTCATCAACGCTTCGCTCCGCCCCTGCACAGACATGGGATTCCCTGCATGCATGTGCCAGTCGCGCGCAGTTTCGCTGCTTGTCACAGAACAGCTTCACACGACGACCCGAAAGGCGAATAGAAAGACTTTCCAATGTGACTCTACAAAGTGAAAGGCCTCAAATGTAGAATGTTATAGAATCCTCATCAGTTTCACGGACCTCGTCCAGGCCAAACGGCTCCAGATGAGAGAGGATCTCGCGATCCCTGGCTAGAAAGCTTCATCGTGAGAATGCGCAATCTAGCTCTTGCCAAGCCCATGTCAAACTGCAACCGAGATGCGTCAAAGGTCGCTGCTGGCTTCCTGCCAAAGACTTGGCCCATGGGAGCTCTTACTGAAAGAACTGGCTCCGACACGTTCTGCACGCGGCAGCGACCCTGCGGATTCAATCTTTCCGCTCCGTCTTGCAATTTTGGAATCAGGACCGCGCCTGCCCAGGCTGTCCAGATTCGATCATCCAGGTCCTGCACGAGCTTCAGCGCCTCCCAGGCAGATCCCTCCTTCTCTCCATGTCTTCCTCTGCATGGGGAAGGGGAAGACATGACTCCTTGCACCACACGTCGACGCAAGCAGAGAGGTCGGATCGGTAGCAGTGCTTTAATTCAAAAATCGCCTCTAACTTGGATCTTTTGCGATACCCGTACGGGATGCAACCACGCGGCGTGCTGATGACACAACCACAGTTGTAAAAGCAACACCGTGACTCTCGGCATCCGGGCCTTCAGCTGCTTCAGCCTGCAGATTCGCTATGCGGACTAAGGCATAGCGCCAGCGCCGCTCGGGACTTCTGATCTCAAGGTTCCTTTGCCGAACTCATGCCTGACTCACTTGTGGAGAGCTTGAGGAGCCTCATCAGTGCCGGTAGGGTGCTTCTGAATTCACCCATGCAGGCCTTGCAGTGTTAGGGCTAAAGGGGTTTAGGGCTTTGAGTCTTCACGAAGGAACAGCCTATATGAGGAGACTAGCTTAGCTTTCGGCAGAACAAGTAGAGAACCAGCCAGATAACCGAAGAAACCAGCTTCACCAAGGATTGATACTTTCTCATCGACTCCCTTCGAGCCTGCTCACGGACTCGTAGCTGTTTTCTGCGGGGCTCAACTCCTTCCACTTCACCTGCAGATGAGATGGGTTCGGCAAGAGCGTGCCTAATTCCGCAAGACCCTTCGCTCCGCTCCGCCTCGTAGAGGTATTCCCGGTCTTTCTCCTTGGCCTTGGTCTTGTCGTCCTTGGACGATGTCTCAACGGACCCTAGGAGCCTTGCACCCCTTCTGTGCTCACGAGCAGCTTGTTTTTGAACAGCCGCCTCGCTGTGTTGTCTTTATCTTGCGCAGGTGGCGCTGTGCATGTGGGCTTTGTGGACGCAGCACAGCGCACGTACTTGAACTCGCAGTCAGAAACAATCCATGCCCGTTGGTCAAGGCCGACAAGGCGCGGTGACTTCAATTCCTGGGCTGGACTAGTGCATTCGAGTCTCAACTACCCTGGGCCAAAACTGGGGGGGTGCTTTTCGAATCGTCGGGTTGCAAAGGGACTAAGCAGACCCAGGACAACTAAACGTGTCTGGATTGGGCACTGTTCGTTGCCCGTACTCCTTTGTCGCCTACTTCTCATTGCAGCATGCATGCGAAGTCTTATCTATGGGCTGGTACTTCGTTCGGCTGTTGATTCTTGCGACGCCCAGACCGGTCCCATCTTACCCCAGGTTCTCTGCAAAATGGGACTTTCGTCATTTCCAACGACTCCCAAGTCCTGGCTGTCCCTTGAGCTGCAAGCAAGTCGCGCCCGAGCAAGGCCTTGCAAAGCATATACATTTTTGAAGCCGCGAGAGATGCGGCTCATTTCGTGGTGCTCGAGCTCTACTTACTTTTTGCTGTGCTCCTGTTATCATCAAGGCTGCATCGATCGGATTTCAGGATGATGGTGATGATCTTAATGAAGGTTAAACATCTCTTCTTCATTGGTGATGCACCTGTTCATACTCGAAGTATCGTCCCGCTCTTTTTCGAGAATTCACACAAACAAACACACCTGCGAGCATGATGTGTGATGCTGCCCTTATGATTACCAGAAATAGCTTCATCCTCTGTGAACGTACGTCACAGAACGCAAGCTCACTATGAACTGTGTGTGCTCCCATCAGCTTCTAGACTTGCAATGTGAAGGATCAGGTTTGGAACCCGCCCTATCTCGCTATCCTTCAGTGCAAACTTCCATAAAGTTCGAAATGACACCAAATATGACTTCCGCTACGTTCACGATTAAAACCGGTGTCGCCCCGAGATTGCTAGCACATCACGTCCTCGACTGGAGGAGCGACAGTAGTGAGTCCGTGCTTTGTTACGAGGCCAAAGATATCACAGGAAAAGTGCCCTCTGCCTCGACCCCTTTGCCCCGCTTGCCGTGCCGGATGCCACTCAATCCTTAGTTTAGAGGAGCTCTGAGCCTCTAACCACAGAGATGCGGAGTTACGCATGTGTGCATCTAAGCGTGTAACATTGTGTCATACATCCATCCATCCGTCCATCAATGCATGCATGCATGTGCATACATCACCTACCTACGCATGTTCTACATGTGCATACACAAACTCATACATGCATACATCTGTTGATACACGTAACAGACATACATACACACCTACCTATGTAGGTACAAGCACGCACATACGTACATGCACTGCGTACCTGAATACAAGCACACATGCATACATGCACACATTCATACACCTATGTCTGCGTGCAAGCGCATGTGCTTCGACATATGCAAATATTGTGCACGTGCATAAGCACATGTCATCAAGTCATAATCGTGTTGACAGTCCTAGATTTTAGATTGCATACTGCACTGCCAACTTCCGGCACTTCTTCATTCCATCTTTGCTGGTCCAGCTTGCCCTGACGACTGCAATCTGTGTTAGCAGTATCCAAGATTCTCACCTGTTTGCTTGCCTGCTGAATCCAGCATGGCGCCAGGTGACCGAACGTCTGTCCAAAAGGCACGGTTTGGGAAGTAGCAAGCAAGACTGCGGCTGCTGATGATGACGATAAGGATGGGGTAGAAAAGGCGATGTGATGACCCACGTCTCAATCCGGCGAGGTTCGCATGTCCTCCTCGTCCTTCGCGCCGAAACCGGTCTTGACCATCTGAGGTCTATTTATAGTATATAGCACAGGCTGTTGCAGAAAATGTCAATAGCATTTCCTTTTCATCTCACGTCAAATGATGCTTCCCCTTGTAGGTCACAACATGAAATCCCACAGTCGGCTTTGCATTAAAGCAACAGCTTTAGAAGCAGGACTTGGATCAAGGGACGAGGGACGCAACACTGCGCAACGGGGTCGGTCAGTCCTTCTTGGACAGAAGCTTTTCATTGCGAACCTTGGGCGGAGCTCCCAGTTGCGAGCCCGCAAGGTTGAACCCACTTCTGCTACATCCGACTAGGCACAAAGGGATGGACACCACACTCCATCGATCCCTGTCCCAAGCACCATCCTTCAGCTGCCTTGCCACTTCAGCTCTGTATCTCCGTCAACTCCGTCACACCAGAAGTCTACGATGTCATGGTCCAAAGCTGTCCCACAGGCATCATGAGCTTGTAGCCGCAGTGCCACTCTCTGGTTCTAAGATGTTCTAAGTGCCCGGCGATTGGCGTCTCCTCGTCCAAGCCTCGGCGGAAGCGAGCCTGCATGTACTCGAGCGGGGTCTTGTCCACACAGGTCCTCAGTAGACTTTCAAAGAAACTCTCCCCAGTGCCGAAGGACTGTCAAAGCTCTGTCAGCGATTCGATCTTCAGCAGACCATATGTGTGCCCTCAGCGTATCATGGCGTATCCAGAACATATGGCCCTTCAGCGGCCAGAGAAGCTCGCGCAGCAGCTTTAAGAGGCGATCTTTGCCCACGGGACCCTCGAGACTATGACCAGGGCAACGGCCTTTAGAGTGCAGAACAAGGCTGCAACGAGCAGTTTACCGCTATCACAAGTGGCATTGAACATGAAACAGTGAACAGTCGCAGAAAACACTCAAGAAATCTAGACACGGCCCGCAGTCGTCCGAAAGCCGAGCGGGCAAGCGTCCCCAGGTGCACGAGGGAATGCTGCGCCTCGGGTACTTTTGTGGCACTCTGCCAGTCTGCCAGAGGTCTCAAACACTTCTTCGTCGAAATCGAATCTAATCGTCTACGGGGCCTAGGGCCTTGTGCAAGTTTTGCCTTCACTTGCAGTCGAGTAGTTCAGATCCCGAGTCGGCTGCCATGGCGTGCGTGCTTGGCTGCGAGGCTGGGACGGGACTGGGATGCATGATCGGCACCCCAGGCGGGTGCACATCTCGAGTTTCAAAGCGGGGCCAAGCAGCTCTCAGGCGCCCGTGACCAAGTCTTGAGTCGAGCAGCAATGTAGGCCAGTCGCAAGTCTTTGTGCCACGAAAGCCTGCCGTGGAGTTCAAGAAACTGGAACCTCCGCAGTCCAGTTCGATGGAATAGCTGCTCGGTCACCCCAAAACGAATCCTGCTCGCCTCAGAAAATCAGCCCACACAGCAAGCCCGGAAAACATCATGGCACCTCCCTTTGCGGCCGTCTACCTCACTGGGCTCCAGCCGGCCAGCCAGCAGAGCTAACAGCCTTGCAGCGAGTTCGCTGCGCTTCCATGCAAGACTACACGGGTCAATGTGAGGAGAGATAGCATCCCGACCATGTCCTCCCAAGGGTACTATGTCGCATGCGTGCCGCAATGCAATCCTGACCAACATAAGCTCGCAAATGTCGGTCTTGAGGAGTGGAACGGTAGAGACTGTCCAAGGTTCTCTGCGAAGCAGTCCGGCGAATTTTTTGGGGGGAAGGGGTTTCGGGCAAAGAAAACCGCCACGCCACTCTCGCGCGTCTGGGTGTGTTCAGAGGAGTTATGAAGGCCCCGCTGGAACTGGCCTGAAGGAAACTCCCCCCCTCTCTCTTGAATTTGCTGACCGGGCACGTCGACTTTCCTGAGCCGTTTTTGCCCACGATACCAACCTTCGGATGCTGCTTCTCTGCGCTTGGAGATATCATCATTCAGTCACTTGCTACTGCCAATATTACTGTTACTGTTATTGTTGCTATTGTTGTTTGAACTAGTCGCAGCTAGCAGCAGCAGGAGTAGTAGTAGCAGCAGCAGCAGCAGTAGTAGCAGGAGTAGTAGTAGTAGTCGTCGTCGTCGTCGTCGTAGTAGTAGTAGTAGTAGTAGTAGTAGTAGTAGTAGTAGTAGTAGTAGTAGTAGTAGTAGTAGTAGTAGTAGTAGTAGTAGTAGTAGTAGTAGTAGTAGTAGTAGTAGCTAGCAGTAGTCGTCGTCGTAGTAGTAGTAGTACCATCGATTTAAGCTTTTTCGAAAATGTCTACTGTTTTGATTTTTCCAGTCGTCGTGTCCATTCCGTGAGCCCCAAATCCTGAAGGGTTTATCGGGATTTTCCAGAGACCCGCTATCTCGGCTTGCAGCCGAAAACCAATGCAACTGGGCCAAGCCCAAGCAAGGACGGCGAAGACGAGCCAGCAGCTTCTCACTGAACCGAGATTCCGACTCTGCTCGCCATCCCGAGCTCGGCGGAAATTTCGTGCAGGACCGGGCTGTCTGAACCTTCCGAAGTCTTCGGCCAAACATGTGCGGGATAGGATCTGCGGTGGAGTATGCTCACTGGAAGACTTCTCTGGAGATGGTGAAAACATGCCTTGGTGGCCACTGTGACAGTCGCTGAGTGCAGTTTGCCTGTATATTTCACAAACATCAGCTTCCGAGGTTGGGATGACACGGCACGGCGTTGTTCGACCGGTGGTTTTGGCGAAATGGAAAGCCTCAATATCTCACTGTATAGGGTAAGCAACTTCTACAATAACGATTTCTGTGCTTCTGCTTGTCTCTGAGAGGGGACTTCGTATGCTGCTGCGGTCGGGCCTTTGTACTTGAAGGACGCCTTCTCCAGCGTCACGACTGGAGCCTCCGAGAGGCTGAAAACTCTATGAGGTTCTCATTCTACAGGTCTTCTTAGAAACATCGGACATACAGGCCGCTCGTGGGATCGTTGCTGATCTGAGTCTTCCGCCAAGGTTTCATGACTTCTCAAAGCAGAAACTTCGCAACTTGCGTTCCAATTAATAGCTAGCAGCTGGCGTCAATGAACATGAGCGAACATGAAAGTTGTAGTAGCGTGAACATAGAGCCCTGATTCTTAATGCAAGGTTGTTGCAGTTAAAGACCAACATTTTTCGTAGTGTACGTGCGCACAAAAAGATTTCAACACGCCGCTTCAATGCAGCCGAGCCCGCATTCCGCTGGGCTCGGGCAGTCCCTCGTTGGTGGCCAGACCAAGTTTCTTGCGATCTCCTGAACCCTGCCCAAACTAAATTCCAAAGCTGCGAATTTCAGAGCCCCAAACCCTACAAAGATCCCTAATCCTTGCAACGGCAGAACTACCTTGCATTTCTGCCTTGCGCTCAGCGCACGTGTCCCCGATCTTCTCCTTGGTTCCCGAGGCTGGGAAGCTAGCTACAAGCACAGTATGATTCGCATTAACACTCGCGTTGTGGGGTGGCAGAGCATGCAAACATCAGTGAGTTCTGTGCGCCCTTGCTCCTAAACAGAGCAGAAGAGGTGATCATGGGACTGCGAACCGCACCGAGGCGTGAAGCCAGGTATCCCTCCCCGAGCTGCCAAAAAACTCGTTTGACCGACAACCCCTTGGCCACCTTTCCCAAGGCAATATGAGACTGGCTATGACACACCAACGCGACACCTGCTCCAGAAGCCTCAAAGCTTTCAATTCGTCCTCGAAGTATGCGGAACAAATCAAAGCCTTTCTTCACCAAGCCTCTACAGGACTTGCCATTCCCTCTTTTAAAGCCCCCATTTCTGAACTTCTGAAACCCTCAGGCTTCCGCTCGTGGATAGCCGAACACCAAGAGAGTTGCGCTTCTATCACACTCGCAGAAGCCATCCCTGTTCTCTTACAGTGCTTTGCGATTGGTTAAGCACGTTGGAACTGGAACTTGCACTCGAGTCGCAGGGATGGGAAAGGCCATGCGATTGCCATCGTTCGGTCCCAAGCCAATGCCTTGGCCCCAAAGTGCTCAAGCCTTCGCAGCTAGCAGCGCTGCACCCACCAGTCTCGATCCGTGTTCTATCCAGCCTACCTTGCCCTTGGTCTCTGAAAGGTTCATGAGCGGGTGTCGATTCCATGAACCTGCTGATCTTCCTGCGGGTATGTCCAGCTTCTCTTACGCCCTTGGCAACATTTCGGCCTGGTCGATCTGGGGCAGCCTTTTCGGCAGTTTCGAGCAGCCGCTCGGCCTGGATTAGGAGGGCGCTGCAGCCGTGGGACATGAGACGGGGGATGGGTCCTGGGTGGGTCCTGATTGGGGTGCCTTCCGAGCTCTTCGAAACAGAAAAAGGCGACTTTTCTCACTTTTGTCTCTTGAACTCTTTTAAGACTGTTCGAAGGAGGGATTGGTGCCTGGCCGCTCTCTTCGCGTCCCAGGACGGGGTGCCTGCCCCCAAGAAGGCTTTCGATGAAAACGAAGCATGCGGTGGCCGCGTGTCGATACCGCATTGCTCCGTATACTAAGATATGTGAGGAAGGATATGGGGCCTCTCAAACAGAAGCTCCCTGGAATCGTGCTGCAAGCTCGGGATTCCATCCTCGAGTCTTGCTTCCTGCGCACAAAGAACAGGAACTGGAATGGTGCTGGAGTCTTTCGAGCCGACAGACACCCAGAGCACCAAAGACAAAAAAGGTTCGACAAGAAACTCTTCTTCAGAGATCTTCAGGCTAAGTCAAGGCAAGTGCTCAAGCCCAAACATCATGGGGTTTGGGGCCTCACTTGACAGACTCAGACTGGGGTGGTGCGTCTTTACCGTGCGCATCTGCGCGATTCTCAGCACTCTCAGCCACTGTGCGGCGGCTCACGTGCAGCAGCACCCACGTCGTCCACAGCTGCGTAAGGAAGAGGATGGACACCAGCACTGGAATGCTGACAAGGAGCACGGCGGCCCAATCGAACCGTCGCATTGCATCTGTTGCAAGAGGACGATCCTTGTTGTAGCCGGTCTTCAGCCAAGAAGCGAAGCTTACTGTCGCCAGGCGAAAGGTGTTCGCGCCTGAGACGAAAGGAAGGAAGGAACAAATGTTGATCGCCGTATGCATTGCGAGCTTGATCCATGCTGCCGCGAACAGGCTCCTCTTGAAGCAAGTCCGGTCAGAGACACCACGAAGGGCGAAGATGAGCAACACAGGAACATCCGTGACAACATGCAAGAGCAAGCAGGCTGCTATGCTTGCATAGAACTGCGGCGCATACTCGTAGGCGAAGGCGTTGCGCAACATGCCAATAATGGCAATGGTTGCCGAGTGGTGCACAGCCAAATCCCAGCGCAGAAGTTCATTGCTGCCTCTGACAATGAGCTCGAAAACATAGGCGCTGCCCACCAAATCTGCACAGGCACTCAAAGACCAGAAGGAGCTACCAATGGCCTCGTTCACCGAGTAGACCTTCTCAGCTTCAGACAGGAACCATTCCGGATGACAGGCGATGAGCGTGCCCACAATCATTCCAAGCAAGGCCAACACACAGTTCAGCGATCTCTTTAGGACATCCACGCGACCCTCAAGTCTTCGACTGTAGAGCAGTGTCACAAGTTTGTAGGTCACCGAGATGATGCCCAGATGCACGATCATGCCTATTTGGCACGTGCAAGCGGAGAAGAACACCACTCTTAAGCTAACCACAACTGAACACTAGGTGGCAAAAGGGCTGCTGAAACACGATAAGCTGGTTCTTACCGAGATGCTCTGCGGAAAGATCCAGTTGTTCACAGGCGGAGTCGCCTCTGCCTCCACAAGCAACTCACAGAGTTCGCGTTGTGGACCCTCCTCGGTTGTCAAAGGCTGAAGTTCAATCTTGTGGAACTCGTTGCTGTGCGGTGCCAGCGTCGAACATTCCTCCAAGTCAAAGCAAGCGCGCATGCCGCAAACGCCGTACTCATCTCCTTGGCTGGGGCCCGGGATGCCCACCGTGGCTCGTGCGAAAGGAAGTGGAGGGTTGGCGGCCAGGAAGATCTGGCACATCTCATCCTCAGAGCTCAAGCCATACACTTTGTCACCCAGGTTCCTCAAGTCCCACGTGCATGTCCATGAGATCACATCCCCGGGCATGAGCTTGAAAGATTTGTAGATCACAGCCTGGCAGGGGTTGGGCAGGAGCTTCTATTTAAACCGTTTAAACGTTTACACCCCAAAGCACTGACTCAGTTTAAACGTGTAAACGTTGAAAAGAAGCGGGACGTTTGTGGCGTTTCAAGGGTCTAAATGTTTAAACGGCTAAAACGTTGGAGCGGCACTCCTGAAGGTATGCGAAGCAAGACTTGTGAGGCGTTTAACCGGTTTAAACGTTTGAACGGTTCAAACGGTGGAGCGGCACGTCTGAAGGTATACGAACCAGGACGACTGGGGCGTGTAAACGGTGTGAGCGTTTAAACGGTTTAAACGTTGGAGCAGCACTTCTGAAGCTATGAGAGGCAGGATGCTTGAAGCGTTTACACGGTTCAAACGTTTAAACAGCTTGAACGTTAGAGCAGCACTCCGGCAGGTGTGAGAAGCAGGACATGTGCGGCCTTTGAACGGTTTAACCGTTGGATCAGCACTTCTGATGTTATGAGATGCAGGACATTTGGCATTTGGGGCAGTTAAACCTAAACATTGGAGCGGCACTTCTGAAGGTATGAGAAGCAGGACGCTTGGGGCATTTAAACGGTTGACATCGCCTGAAGACTCTCGTGGTGAACTCTCGTGGTGAGTTCAACAACCGAGGGGTGCTCCAGAGTGGAGTGCCCTTGAGCTTCAAAGTCTACTCCACCAACATCCGCACTGCTTGACACATCTTAACACAGAAAAGCCCTCGTTGCGATTCATCAGGTGTCAGGAGCCACACAGACACATGTTGAAACACGCGGCACCCGCGAAATGTTTAAACATGTTCAAACGTGCGAACCGAACATGTTTAAACATGCCGAACCCGGACCTCTGTTTAAACTGTCCAAAACGCAATAATGTTTAAACGTTTAAACTCCAAGCGTGTTTGACCCATCCCTGCGGCCTGACGATTGAAGTCGAAGCCCCGCTGCTCGAAGAGCATCTCTGTGCGTCCACGCCTCGTGCGGTACGCCTTCAAGGACTTGCCGGCGTAGTGCATGTGTGCCAAGGCACCAACCACTGTGGTTCCATGTGCTGGAAGGGTGTCTGTGCACGCCTGTGTCAACACGAAGCTCTTCTGGACAATGTGGTTCGCCGGCAGCACATCTCTCCAGACTCCCTTGATGCTCGTGATACCCACCGCCTTGTCAGCAGACACATCAGAATTGGCGGCCCACAGGCGGAAGCCAGTCTGGATGTCAAAGGCGTCTTTCCCAGGGTTCTCAAAGTGAGCCTCCAGGACGTAAGTGCCAGCCTTCATCTCGATGAAGAGGCTGTTTGGAAGAACTTCCTTCGCATCTCCAAGGCCCCAGGAAAGGGACACTTGGCCTGGACTGTAACTTGAACACTGGTATTGTTCTGGGAAATCCAGCTCTGGCTCCAAGGGTCCCAAATGCATGTGATGAAGGTTTCTTGTGTTCAAGACAGCCCAGGCATGAACCTTGATGTCACAAGGTATCTCCACCTTGATGTAGCAGTAATTCGTCTGCCCCTGAGGTACCCGGATGCTCGGACCCAGAACGTCCACCTCCACAGCCTGAAGCGCCTCTTCATGCAAGATGGGCTCGGGCAAGTACATGTAATGTGAAGTGGTCTCGCGTACCTGGCCATGGTAGTTCATGCGCCCAGCACCATAGGCAGCCACGAAGTAGTTCTGCATCCACTGAGGCCCTAGGTCCTCATCCTCGGCATCGCACGTCTTCATCATTCGTCTGAGCACGGCCTTGGTCACAACCGTCTGTCCCAAACAGGTTTCCCCCAAGCTCACGTGAGAGATGCTCTGGGCTTGCCAGTTCTGAAGCTTGTCGGCCACAGGACGCTCGAAGCCGTGGGAATAGGAATCAGTGACTTCGAACCCATTCGGTCCATCCTCCAAAATCACCATGTCGGCTCCAATCATGCTCCCGACTTCTGAGATCCCGAAGCCGAACCAACCCGTCGTTGGCACTGCAAAGGTGAACTCGATCTCCCCGAGCTTGGACAAGATCTCATATCCGACCACAACCCCAATCTTCTCGAAGTAGAAGCGCTGGGGCGAGTCAACCAATGCATCCAGCTGAGGCAGGAGGCAATGCTTGTCTTGGACTGACAGGGGGGTGACGGAGCGGAAGGAATCCAGGCATGAGATGTTGGACGCCCCGGCGAGAGCCAGCAGCGCGAAGAAAGAACGCCACCACATCGATCCCATGATGCTCAGGATGAAAATTCCCCTCAACCAAAAACGCTGCAGAAGCGATGCTGCCAAGAAAGAAGCAACCCGAGACTGCATAGAAACCACCTGCTACCTTTTTTCCAAAGTCCGTAGCGGCTCTCAGATCTTTGCGAGCGGATTTCTATCTGCTACGAACTCTCGCAGATGTACTCAGATCGAGTGCCACTAGTCATGCTCATCCTCGATTTGTGGACCAAGTTCTCTGCAACATGAAACTTGCAGGCTTCAGGTGCTGACTGTACTGCGTCTCTACATCGCTCGGCATCCCCTTTTCACAAGGCTGCATGACAAGTTCCACGCGCGCCTCGGCATCATCTCCATTCAGAGCGGATGCCTGCGGGGTCTGAAACTTGCGCCCATGCCAAAGGCAGAGGGGGCTTCCGCTTTGGAGGCCCGCGAGCAGTGGGTTTCATGAGCCAGGGCTTAAGCTAAGAGAAGAGGATATGAGCGTGAGTTTTGAGGCGGGACGAGTCGGGACAAATCGATGGCAAGGAAGGTGATGTTGATGATGGTGGTATTAAGGATGATCCTGCCTTACGCGCTACGATGGTCGTACTGTGCTTGAGATCACGCATATAATGGGTTTCGTTCCACAGTTCGTTTTGTCCGTGAGTATCTTCGGGCGGCTAGCTCAAAGGCCAAGAGCTGGAATGACCCACGAAGAAAAGAAACCCAGCGCCGAAGGCTCCTTTGCATCGAGGGAAAATCGCAATCGGAAACCTCCTGGCTCCGGACTGACCCTCACCCAACCCTCAGCCTTGAAAGCGGAGAAAGTTCCGGGGTAGTACGCCAGCTTTCCTGAACGCATTGGACTCGCATTGGTATTAAATTGATCTTGTGCGGCCACTTGCACCGAGCAGAATCCGAGGATTCGAGCAAGCGGGGGCCAGGCAGTCGTGTAGAGGCAAGGGACCCGGAAGAGTGAGTGAAGCTCCATGGTCATGCTTGACACTTTGGGGGTGTGAGAGTTCTGTGGAAGTCGGAAGGTTGGAAGTTGGGAGAGGGGTCTCGCCTTTCTTAGGCATCAAGTCTGCAAGCCACGAAACTGCAACATGCTCGATCAAAACTAATTGCACCTGCCTTTCTGGTTGCTCGGCGAGAAGTGGACGACGTCCTTGGATGGAGTGCAAGCAGGTGCCAGCAATTGCAGATTGAGTCTCGACTGAGTCGCTGGATGAACCTGGATGAAGCATTGAGGCTTCAGAGGCCCAGGCGGACCAGGTAATGCAACGCGAATGCACGACACAACACGGTAGGAGGGTGATTATGGCAAAGTGGAGCCGTGTAGCATCATCGGATGATCTTTAACTGAAAATCTGACCCGGACTTTAAACGGGTGCTGCAATCCTCATCACGAACCGTAGACGCCGTAGACGAAGCGAGGCTCGGTGCAGACGCGGTCCAGAAAATCGGGGTCGTGCGAAACGATCAAGGCAGCGCCTGCAGTGGTCTGCTTGACTTCTGCTCCTCCGAATTGTTTGCGGGTTGCGAAGGCTAGGACTAGGAATAGTCGAAGTCCGACCTCTCTATAGCCCTGAAATTGGCATCACTGTGGTCGGGTGTTTACTGTGTGCCGAGTTTTCCTGTTCAATCTCGTGAAGGGTTGGTGGTTACCGTGGGTTTTGGTATATCCATCGACCCAAGCCATCAAATGATTGTCGAAGCCGCAAGATTACTGAGATTGCAACTCTGTGCCAAAGGTTCCATTATTTCACCATCTTCCACGGCATGAGTAGTTCCAGCAAGTCGAATCCATCCATCGATCCCGAATCTGACCAAGTCAGTAAAGCTGCAGATAAAGTATAAAGCTCGAAAGCTTCTCTGGTCAGAAGAAGAGGCTGCTCAACGTGCTAGCAATCTTCGACTCAACGGAGTAAACTTGTGAAAAAACAGTGCAGACTTCGAAGCGAGCAAGCCGTCGCGCCTGAATGGTCGGAATCCTCATTCTGACAAGTCCTCGGTCGGAAAGTCACGCAGGATGTTAACAAAATGCTGTAATGTCCCTGTCCCGAAGATTGGAGCTGAGGCACTGCCCATTGCATGCAACCCTGCTGCACATACAGTCGAATCTGATTCTGACAATGCTGCCCGGTGTCCGGTTGATGAAATCCACCAACCATTGGACGCCTTCTGCGTCCAAATGGTTTGTGGGCTCATCAAGCAATAGCAAGTTGGCCTGAGTTGTTTAAGCTGTTGCACCAAGATGACTGCGTTGACGTGCTCGGCGTAGCATGCTATGCCAAGGGCGGCTGCCGCCGACAGTGTGAAAGAATGAGAGTGGACTCAGGCCTTGCTTTGACAACGACTGTCTGCCAAACGCCTTTCAGGGTCTCTTTTCTGGAGGCTTGCTTTTCGCGATGTTCCGATATCCTTTCTCTGACGGCCCGTGCTTGCTTCATGGACTGGCCAATATGGGAGGGCCATGCACTTCATGGAGCCCAAGCGCCCGTGGGCGACATTCGGCATCGAGCTTCGATCCACGTCTTTCGCGCAAGCCGAGGCACTTTTCGCGCTACAGCGCAGGCCAGCGCGAGGCGCATCTGCCTCGGAGCTTTTAGCCGTCGGCCAATTGGGAGAATGGCAAGCTGAGGAGAGGAGACAGATGCGGCGAAAGACTGAGCAAGATCATTGAACCGGATGCGACAAGTTCAGCTTTGGTTCTGCGGCAAATTTCAAGCACACATTCAAGTTGCTTTCCCAGCGACCAACCGCCGCTCAGGGCGAGCACGGCCTGCCCAAGCTGCTCCTGGACCGGACAGAGCAGCTGGAGGGCTCGGCTCGGCCGAAAGGAGCCTTGTATCCAAAACATTTGCTGTTGAGCTTTCAGTTTTCAGACTTGAGACGACCTCTGCCTTTCAAGCTCTTCGATCCCGAAAGCAAGGATTTGTAAGTGGAAGTCACGAATCACCGCAAACCTCCGACTCCTCCCCACGACTGTCAAACGACCCTGTGCGATGTCGGCTGCATATCCTAGGGCTATCGTATCACCTAGCTCGCCACAGGGGACAAGTTAACTCACAAATGCCCGATAACGTACCCGAAACAAGCAACGGAGCATGTCCGCACGACATCCAATGTGCCTCTCGCTCGAAGCCCATGTCGCGAAGCGCTTGAGCCATATCCTGTGAAATAAGACTTCTGGAAAGGAGGAAGTTGAGTCTTGAGTCTTGAGCACCGAAATTCTCGAAGCATGGCTGACTCTTGGCTTAACAACAGGACATGCTCAGTCAGGGGACGTGCTCTGCCAGCAAGGCTACTGATCCTGAGCCCCGCAGAGGGACCTCCTCAGATGCTGCACCTTCTCCTACATTTCGCTGCAGCACGTAGTCGCGCACCTTCGCGAGATCAAACTACTCGTAGCGCTTTTGATTGTAGGTTCATGGCTCTTGCGGTCGGGGATCCCGCTTGCAGTATCGCCGAGACAGTAAACCCTAACCCTAATTAGAAACCCTAAACTCTAAACCCTGAAGTATTGTCTTCCCCTCCTTGCGGCTTGGCTCATGATTTTGCGATGCTTCTTCAGATAGCTTTGCAGCCTTGCATGTGTCGTAAAAACTTAAGATCCCAAATGATCCCAAGATCCCTGGCAGAATCAGACAAGCATGTGAAGCTCTCAAGGCGGGGAACGGATCCATAGAAGCGCTTCATTCAAAACGGCTAAAGCTCCCGAGCCGGGGGTTCCGACCAGGACCTCACCATTTCAACTGAAGATCCACCGAACTTTCGAAGGACTGAGTGCGAGTCGAAGCCTTCGTGGATTTCCGGACTCCCTGGAGTATGGCCTGCCAGCGTTGAAGTTCAATTGGGGTTCGGCTTACGCTTGTGACCGGAGCTGGGCAGGTAGAGGCTGGGTTATCAAAGACTCACGCAGCGTCGCAAACAGTTGGAGAAAAGCTGAACCCATGATTTCCGAAAAGTTGATGACACGGGGCCAACTTTATTTCAACATGTTTTCCGGAAAGAAGTTGCAAAAACAACCTAACATAAAGCTTACTCAAGGAAGCTGGGTGCAGGAGCAGCCGAGCCCAAAGTTGAAAAAGCTGAAAGGTTGAAACCAATCAAGTTGATTGCACACGAATGCAATCAACTGAAAACACAACTTTGGGTGGCTCATGTCAGCTCCTGAATGCCTTAGGTCCTAAATCCACCGACTTTTCTTCGACTATGTCGGCAGCTTTAATTCAGATTCAACTACTTGGGATGTCGTACTATACTTGGCTGTACATATGTTCGTGCATAAGCGACAACGCCGGCGCGTATTCAACTACTTCGACAACTGTTCCACACAATATCACCAGAAATTCACAGACCAACGATCTTCTGGATTTAGATTCCCTCACGAGGTCACGCAACAGCAATGTACAATGATTTAACAACGGTTCGCATCAGCACAGCCCAAGAAAGACCGCAACAAGCTCCCCGAGCTGGAAGGTACAGGCGAGTAGCTACAGCAACCACCTTCAAGCTGAACACTTAAATCCAAATCACGGCAAGGTTGAGTGTTGATGGATCCTGCCAAACACCAGGCGCAACAGCAATTCGATCCTAGAGTGTTTCAGGGCGTGCTCCGGGTGAATTGCCTGTTGCGAAAAAGGACCTGTCGGCCAAATCTGAAACCTTTGGGCCCCAAGCGTGGCTCAAACTCAAATGGTAGCTTGAGAAAATAGGGGACCCTAATATAGTACCCTACATAGCAGGATCCTGATTATAAGGACCCCAAAAGAAGGTGCCCCAAATCTTCTTAAACGCCCAAATATGTGCGCAGTTCGGCCGCCTCGTGTCTCAGGAGGACGACTCGCAGGTCCTCCAAGAGGCTCGATCGATGGCTCACACTTTCCGCGGGACTGCGCTACACCGAAAGCTCACGGTCCCTAAACCCTAAACCCTGTCATCGCCAAACCTCTGCAAAACCGACCGGGGCTGACCCACCTCCGGAAGGCCCATCAGATCTTTGCTGGCGAGCCTGGAGATGTCTT